AATGCTGACACAGATAAGCATTCTGGAAGTTGATGGTAATCATAATTTAGAGAGCATCGATTTGCCACATATATGGGGTGAAAATTCAATTGTAAATATGTCGCATTGTAATTTGAAAACACTTTTTATACCACCGAACGTTGAACAAATCTATGCAATGCACAATCAAATATCTTTTATCAAAATTCATCCAGACAATGAAATGAGAATTTTAGATTTAAGCCATAATAATTTAATTGATTTAACTCACATAGCAGGCATACGAACGTTAAAGAACTTAACTTATTTGAATATAAAGTATAATGGCATTCGTTATATTGATTATACTGAACTTGGCCATCTCAAACAACTTAATACACTGAAAGTTGAAATAAATCCAAATCAAACAATTCCTATAGCTGAAATCAGAAAGGAAATCCCGCTTCTGAGATTTCTTTTCATATCGGCACGTGATTTGAATAAAAGGCAAAAAGAAATCGAAAAGGATTGTAAACGACATGATATCAATGTTGATATAAATACAGATGATCCCATTTCAACCATTCAATAATTGTCCAATGAAAGATCGATCCATCACCAAATCCAACATACAAACATTAAACTCAATAAGTTAACAGACTCCATGTATTCGAAAATGATGAGAGAATAGAAGTAATAAACTTTAAACGCGGCAAATATGAGAGATCATGAATTATAAAAAATGTGTTTTGAAATCATATTAATACAAACCCGAGCAATTTTCACGTTTGTAATTGCCACATGTTATGTGCATGTGAACACTGCACAGGCTAGATTTGGTCGACAATCCCCTTTTTTTATTTAAGTATTTTGATGAAAAGTCAATGGAAAAGTCAACAACAGAGACAACCTGAAAGAAGAAAGCGCACGAAAAGTGTGTATTTATATTCATTCCAAACGTGATGCTGACCTAGAAAATCGTCTGTGTTCGCCTTTCGTGAGTGTAGCAAAAATAGTAGTACATAAGCGCATGCAATGCCCGGTGTGTATTTGAAATACCGTGCCGATGCATACAATGTATCTATATGCTGTTTGCTGCTGTAGTACAGTCCCTTTTATGTATACAGCCGAATGAATGTTGTCCTTTGTCCGTGTCGACAGAGAGCATCTCGATGTACAACATGAATCAATGCAGAGGAAGAGAGACACCAATCGACCGTCCTTACGTTGGCTGTTCCACCTATACCTAGACGCACGCATCAATTCCAATAACAAACTAAGAATAAGATTCTTTCGTGTTTTTTTTTATCATTTGATTCTATATTTGATGGTTAGTTTTTGGCTGCGAGACTGGTTTTCTTGGAAATGCCGCTACTTGATTGTCCATGGCAATTGGTCTGCTTTCTTTCGACAGACTTTTGACACGCCGGCACATTTCATTGTCATTGCCAAATCAACCAAATGAGAGAAAAACTGTTTCGTAATTCATTTTCCCAAATCGAAATTTAATTACTGCTGAATGCTGTGTACGTGAGCATTGGCTACCACAACTCCGTTCAATGTTTGTTCGGCAAACGGAGAAAACCGCGTAATTGTCTATACTATTTCTTTTTCTTTTTTTTTGACAGAAAAACACTCATAAATTGTTATGATGGTGGGTTGGTGGTGGGTGCTTTTGCCTCACTCCTGCTACCGATACTCATAAAAATGGAAAACGAATCTACGATGCAAACAAATTTTATGCTTTCCATATTTTTTTTATGCTTTTCGCCACAAAACAGCAAAGGCGCTGGATTTGAATTTTATATTATATCGATAAAAAAAACGAAAGAAACGAGAAGAGAAATGTTACGATTTTTCGACCTTCGTCTCCAATGCATTATCTAATTTAGTATTCTCAGCACAGAACTATTAAACGAGATGAAATTTTATGCAATTTATAGCCGATTATGGTTGGTGTGTGTGTGTGTTCGTGTTTTGCTCGACTATGCCTCGCAATGTGCATTCGTATTGTGTGTGCATTTGACGATGGCATTTAGAAAATAAAATTAAAAATTAAAATGATCAAAATAAAAAGGCGGAATGGTTTTTGTCATAAAAAAAGTGGCTTTTCATGTTCCATTTCGGCGATAGAGACACTGAGAGAGAGAGAGAGAATAGAGGGCGTAGTATGTAGGATGCACAACGCATAATATCATACACTAAAAATGGATTTTAAAAGAAACACATGCCCCAAGCACACACACAAACACACAGAACCAATTTATCTTGAAAGCCATGAATTTCAGTTTATTTTCGCTATCTTCAATTCGACAACGATCGTCACCCGCACCGCTTTAGAGACATTCGGGATGGGTATGCAATCAAAAAATGTTATGATACTATTTGCGTGAGTCACAATTTGTGACTGCTGTTGTTTATACGATTTGTTCGTTTTTGCGTGTGTATATTCTTGGATTTATTATTTCTTGGACTTTTATGTGCAATTTGATCTCATCGGCATTTGGAAAATCCCAGGATTCCATATCGAACAATTTCCATTTCAACAGCAACATAGAAACAAGCAATGAAATGTTTACTTAAAATAAAAATGTTTTTTCCCTCCAAAATATGCGAATGTTTACCGATTGATTTCACATTTCAAAAACGATACTTAGGTGATACTATTTATTTATTTTATTAGAGTCAACGTAAATATTGTGCAATTTTATCGACGGGCAAATAGCTCAAAATCGAATTATTAGTGCAAACAAATTGAATTTAAAAAAAAACACAAACAACGCGCTATCGTCAGAAATATGAGAATATCTCTCCAATGCTTTTTATCATCAATGTTTATTGCAATTTTTAAAACGAGCCTCGGTTTCTCTTACAAACGCAATTTAAAATGCCGGAAAAAATTATCTACGCGCGATCATCATAAAAAATACTGCGCGACCATATCAAATGGAGGCACAGGACAAAAACAGCCTGAGTTTGCGTTTGAAAAAAAAAAGAAGCTAAAAGCATAAAGTATGCAGGATGGTCAGATGCAGCAAAAATAGTCATGTCACCGAACCCAGAGTCAACCGAGTCTCCACCTCCTCTCAAATGGCATAAAATTAAAAAGCCCGCGTATTAAATGACATCGAGCAATAATAACGACGACAAGAAAAAACGATGTGCATGGAAAAAAAAATGCGAAAAAGGAAAATCGCCGGTGGAAAAAAACAACGGAAGAATGACAACGGTGTGTTTTATTTTATTATCTCAAATACTTTTTGATACGTGTGTGTCCAATATCAAAACGATAACTTTTTTTTATCGTTCGACACAAGCAAAAATGTCGAACGGAATATTTGATATTTGTTTCTCTACATGTCACACAGCACACCATCGACGCATTGTTCAATCTATACCGAAACTTTGGCAATTGAACTGCTGTTGTTTTTTTTTTGTCCATGTGTGTAATATTCAAATCGTGAATATTCTATCGCAAAAAAAGAGACAAAAACCAACCTCAAACACTGTTTTAATGAATTAGCTACCTGTTCGCACGGCAAAATTTGCTGGTAGCCTTTTCGATTCAATCGCGCTTCATTCAATGTTTATGAGGAAGAAAAAACAACCACCGAACACGGTTGACGTTTCGTCAACAACAATAGCAAAAAAGACATGCAGCAAGACAGAATGGGAAAAAAGAGTAGAGTGTTGTCATTGAAAAGTTCTGGTTTGGCTCTTTAACCAAAACGAAAACATCGTCCACGGCATACGGCACGACAGCAATTTTCCATTCATGGCGATTACACGCAGGTTACACAAATTGAGTAAAGCGATGCAAAAACACATGGTGCAACTGGGAAAAGTGCGATAAGAGAGCGTGTAAACAAAAAAGCGACAACCAAACTCAATTGAAAGGATGGCAAAAGCATACAAAAAGCATAGAGAGAGAGAGAGAACGAGAATGTGTGTATGTTTGGCGCGTCATGGGGTTTTGTTCACGGTGGCATTCCAAAGTCTCTTACTCTCTCTCCCTCTCTCTCTTTTTCTCTCTTTCATGCGCTCTCAAATCGGTCGACGATGTGCACATGGAAAAGTGAAAACGAAAGTGAAAACTAGCACCAAAAACCATTCAAATCACTCTCTGTCCATTTGTATGTGGCGTACACACGACGGGTGCATCTATTCGTTTGCATGAAACCGGAGCTCGGCACACACATACATACACATACACATACACACGTTTTCATGACTCTGGTGACATGCAAGTGTCGTGTGTTTTGTTCGCATTTTCTTTTCCACCGCAAATATCACACACGTGTGATGGTGATGATGACGATGGCAAAACAACCGATGCAAAGGCGATTGCATACTGTTTGCTTTGCCGCATGTGAACATCAATGCGAACATTCTGCATACACTTGCATCCATCTGACTCCATGATTTATGCTACTGAATACAGATAAAATGTGCGCATATTTTGAATTGAATTCATTTAGAAAATGAACATGGCATCGGTCAAGTAAACAAACGCTTGAATGATACTCTTCAAATAGATCAAAAAACACACCCGAGGCTTCTAGTGATAACGAATTGAGCAAATGATGACTGCTATTTTACTCACGATATAGCGAGCATAGTCGATAGCGACGAAAGCCAATAACCCTCTGTTAACGAAGGGAAGAATTTTCATTCACTCGCTATTTTACCGTCTCCATCGACATGCTTTCCACGTAATTCTTTAAGTTTGCTTTAGATGAGGGTGGAAATCGGAAAATTATGCCCCATTTCAAAATAACAACGCCATCTCTTGTCTGGGGAATGAAGCTGGAAAATGTATTTTCCGCCGAGCTTTCGAACATTCAAATTAAATCAAGAAGAAGAAGAAGCACCTGTTTCGATACCGAGAAAACAAGCTTCGACAGAGAGACAATAGATAGAAATAACTTACACTCTGAGTCAAACTCGATTTTACTGTAAAATTTAAACTTTCAAAGGCTTTTACCGAGGTTTTCCACCAAAACTGTAATCTTAAGTGTTTGTTCAAATGAAAAATCCGTTGGTTTTTGACTTTATTTCATGTAGTTTTTTTTTATTTAAAACAATGACATTTAGTTCGAATACATGGACTCCCATCATCATTATCAATTATAATGAGTTAAAATGTGTGTGTTTTTTTGTGTGAAAATTTTTCGGTTTCCATATCCTTTATTAGACATGCATTTATAAAATTGTAATTTCATTTTTATTTCGGATAATTTTCAATAATAAATGTTATCTGGTGGTGGTGGTGGGTGGAGAATGTTACTAGTTTATGGAGAAAAATGCTAAATAACCTATTGTTGGTTATTGTGTTATGTTGGCCAAATAGAATTGTGGAAGCTGAATCAAACTGAAATTGTTGTAATTGTGCAGTCTATGTGAATAATTAAGTGAATTTGAATTGTGTTGTTCAGTTTGTCGTTGGGGAATTTGAGTGGAATGTAACGCTCAGAATATTCGATTCACTGTCTAAAATTAGTAAATGCCACGTAATTTCGAGAAATGTACTATTGACATCATTTCAACATGTTTTTCTCTCTCTCATTCAGTGCATTATTCTCTTAGAATATTTTGAACTAAACGACATTTTCTATAAATTTTCTTTCATTCGTTATTGAACAATTTTTTTTTCCTCTGTAGTATTTCGAGTATTTGAAGTAACTTTCGTTTATATTTCCATTAGTTACACTTATACAACTCCGAATAAGGTATTTCATCGATGAAGAAGCATTCTTCACAACAAATCCTCAAACGAAAAATCCAAAATTGATTCATTTCATGGTCAAAATGATGGTTCAACCAATTTGTTCATGTTTCGCTTGCACTTATCAAAGTAACTAAATCAATTTACTCCAAATTTGACACATGAAATGAAACGATTTCGTTTTACCAATGGAGATAGATGTTCATTTTTTAAATCTATTCATCTGAATGGTAATTTGTGTCAAAATTGACTTTGAAATTGCATGAAAAATCAAGTAACTTGGACTATTTGGTATGTTTGCTTGTTTTTTTTTTTTTAATTAAATATTTGTTTGTTTCATATGACAATAGCGATACGGTTGTGCATACGTTTTTATCTACTGGATTCTATTTGTCGATTTCTCTAATTTAGCGAATTATTGGCAAAAATCGTTCGAAAAAAAGTGATGTCTTCCGAATATTGCCACACTGGTTCAGTGGGCCATGCAAAAGCGGTAGATTCATGCTATTGTAGATTAAGTACAAAAAAAAATTCAAAGAAACTAAAATTTAACGTATATTCCCTACATTTTTCTTTCGATTATAAATTTGTTTTAATTCCAATGATTCGAATTAATTTTTTTCTTTGCTACACCTATAATAATTGGATTTTTGTATTCAAATCAAACGAAAATGGAAAACATGTTCTGCTTTTTTCTTGTGTTTGTTCGGAATTTCGGTAAGATACAAAAAAAAAAATACAATGGTTGCGACATTTTCCCTATATACTGTTGAAAAGCGTGAAAATCAATATGAATCTTATCTACAATAATCTTATGGCTAGAAATAATGTGTTTTAATCTGTTTCTCACGAGGTTTGACGAGCTTAAAAAGCACCACAGTACATATTCAATACGCATGTACACGATATAAATGTGTGAGTTTATCAATGGTTTCAGCGATGATTGTTTTTTTTTATATTCTGTTCGGTTTATTATGTGACAAATCAAAGAGTAATTTAGCGCATTTATCGCAATTTCACTTCGATTAAATGTCAACAATGATTCCGTAACACATTCTGGATGTTATCACTAATGAATGGTTTTTGATGCATGACAACAGCAACTCCGGTCTGCATCAGCTATCTGTATGGCTGCATAGCCTGAACATATTATATGGAATGGGTCGTAATCAGCTGAACAAATTTTACGGAATCGAACAATAATAACAGAGGTACTACGGTCCATGCATCGCGGCAAACAATAACATTGACAAGGATGTTAACATCGTAAAATCCACACATGCACGCTCGTTACTCGCTCACACTTTTATTATCGTCACATCGAATGAAATGCCTATGTCAGTGCCCATAAATATCCAGTCATTAAAATTATTTAATTACTTATTATTGTAATAAAGTTCAGGCTTAGCACATTCAGCGTCGAACACAACGCACACAACCCAGACACTTGTGATGGTGGTGGCGTTGGTGGCTGCGGTGCATACACACGATTACATTCCTGATAACTACACACATTCAGTATGCTTTTCAGCTCCTGAATATATAAATATATTTGCTATGATTTGTATGAATGAATATAAATGGTAATATTTGCGGTACATCGACGACGGTTTTTCATGATCGGGTTCTGTGTTTTTTTTTTAGTTTTGGTTTTTCTAAATTACATATTTACTCTAATCAATTTGCATTGATACAAAGTGTGCACTTCCTCAACCTCCTCTCTAGTTCTCTATATCTTGCTGGTTCTAACGCTAAAATTATAACGAAACTCATTAAATACGCGCGTGCATGTAATTATAGCTGATACAATGGATCGGTCAGACGGCTTAACGGTGGATCATTTGTCTCCATTTTGGTGGTTGCATCCATTCGAAATCGTTCGCTCTATTGACAACCAAGCAAACACATTTATACACATCAATTTATTATTAATCTCTTTGTGTATTCTGCATGCCGCCGCCGCCAGCGTTTTTGTTTCATTTTTCCGGTGCTGATTGGCGGGCCGTATCACCAATCGACCAGATAGATAGTTTTCGAGCGCATTTATTAGTTTCGTCTGGTTTATATGATCTATGGACAAAAACAAAGCGCGCCTTTTAGCGCTTGTGCAGCAACTAATCAGCTAGGGCTATTAATAATATTAGCTTGTTTTTCTGTTAGTTTGGCGTGGGTCATTAGTTCAATGACTCCCAAAATATCCATGCGAATGGATTCATTTGAATTGATTTTGTGATTTATTTTTTTCATTCTTTTCTATTTGTGCGCACAAATATGAGCTAAGTGTGAAGGGTGTGGGGGATCGAGGGGACAGTTGTTTACTGTTGGCGGTATATTAAATTATTTATTGTTATCATTATTAAACATCTATAGTGTGATTTTTGGTTGGACCGTTGAGCCATTTTCATTTATAGTCTGTTAATTTAACTCTTACCTTAAGCTTAAAAAACTGAAAGACAAGAGTGTAAGAGTCACTTTTAACAACTCAACTCTAGCTTTCTTTAATGTTATATCGGCTCGGATCGTCGAGCATATTCTGTTTTTTTTCTGTTCAGTTTATAAACAACTCCTTCTCCTTTTGCCTTATTCGTAGTTCATTCACTTATTCATCTAATCTAAATTGTTTATAGTATTCAATATTATATTTAGGTTTTTGTTAGTCTGGTTTTTAGTTTAAACACAACATTGACATATATTATTTGTTTTGTATGGTAATAGAAATAACCGCGTATATTTTTGTGTGAACCATTTGCGAATAATTGTATCCATGCTCGTGCCAAAACTCATGTAATGGTTTCATGAATTTGTTAACGACCATCCAAAAACCATTATGCGTTCGAATTCGAATTTGTGACGAACAACGGCATTCAAATTGTGAATTGATGTTCAAAAGTTATGGCAAATTCATGTAAACCTCTTGCATTGACGAGCAAATCGATTTGTTTCTCATTTTCACATTAAAAATCCTACAGCTAATTGTGTGTGTGTGTATTAAAACGTTCATATAAAGAGATCACAATAATATAATAATTTGTAATCATTTCTGTTTTTTTTGTCTATAATTCTTCAATAAAAACTAGTTTTTTTTGCTTGCGGTTTTACCACAAATTCATTAAAATCTGTTACTTTCTGTGTGTTTGTTTCACTTATTTCTGCGTCATTTCGACACGAAACAAACAAAGACAGCAAAAAAAAATCTCATAACAAATAATATTTCATAGTTTTTACGATTTTCTTTCTCTTTTTCGTTTTCTTATTTTGGCAACATTTTTGGCCACAATCGTTTCAAACGGCAAAAAAAAAACATGAACTTTATCCCCGAGTCTGATACAAAATCATATCTGAATGTGAAACGCTTAAAAAGTGCTGGAGCAGCAGCATTTTCGCATCGTTCGCAGATGAGTAGTTGAGTCATAAACAGAGAGTAAATGACACTCATTAAAGAGCTTTGTTTGTGTTTGTCTGTGTGTATGCGCGAGTAAGCGCTCACACACTAATTCGATTGGTACGTGCGATTTCACATTAACTTTCGACATTAATCGGTCCAACGGTGGCGACAGCAGCGGCTGGAAGAATTTCTGGCGGTGGTGGTGGCAATGAATCCATATTTCCATTATCTAACTGGGTGATTTCATTGAATTGTTTGATTTCATCGCATGTCGGTGGCGCTGGAAAGTTCATCAAACTATCGAAATCGTTTGAGTTATCGGTTAAATGTTGCTCGTTACCATTGAATCCATTTTCGAGATCACCGTTCAGTTTGCCATTGCCGTTGGTAGTTATAATCGATTCAGTAGTTTTACTGAAGCCATTTTTGTGATGGTGTTCGTGCTCGTGCAGAGACGGTAGCTGTTGTTGCTGTTGCTGTGGTTCATTGCCGTTTTCAATTTCAATTTCGGCAGCAATGGTGGTGGCTGTTTTAAGAGCTTTTGATAAGATGATGCCATTGTTGGTGGTGGGAATTTGATTTTCGTTTACAATGTCAATCAATAGCGGTTCGGTAGCGTCTCGTACTGTGTTATCCAATGTATTTTCCAGTGATCCATTTTCGTTAATTTGGTTTTCGTGCTCTGTGTCACTAATTACTGTAATTGGTTCAGGTGTCGGTGCGTTTGGTTCGTTTGTTTCATTTGCTTCGATGAGCACGGTGTTGTGATGCGGTGACGTTGATTGGTAGCTTTTCGTATCGACCGTGTAAGTTTCTTGTGTGCCATAGCAGTATGCGCGGTTTGAGCCATCTGATGATGAAATGCTCAAATCTGACTGCGACAAACCGGTATTTATACTGCCGGCATGAGCTACGATTTCATTGTGTCCGTTATGTTTTGGTGATGACATTGAAACGGCACCATCTTCGTCGATCATCAAGACATCATCCTCCAAGCACATTCCATTCGGCGGGGGATGAACCAATACTTTTTCATTACTTCGTGTGCACGATGACACATCATTCGACGATGCATAGTCCACACTCTTTGGTTGCTCCTCCGGTACTTCCACAATGGTCGCTTGAGTTTGTCTCGGCGATATGGTCATCTGTTCAACCGTCATCGATGCGGCGGCAGTGGCTACTGCTGATGCTCCAGCTTTGGACGCTGCAGCTACATTCGCCATCATGATTGGCGTTGTGTTGCTATCAGCGCCGCGAGCCACTTCAACAACAAACACCCCATCCTTTTCTGATGGCGAATAATGCACCTTCGTTTCGCGAACATCTCGTGCAATATCCTGGGCAGCAACCGACGAATATGTAGGGAGAGAAAGACAGAAACATGATTTTCAATTAAGCGTTCAACGATAAAATTACATTACATTTTGTTTTCGAAATGGTTGGGCATTAATTCTATTGCTGTACTAAAATGGATTAAAGCGCATTTTTTATTCAGTCAACGTCAAATGGATTTGTTGCCATTTCAGTTTACAGTTTTTTGATATTACCGTTCACAAATGCCAGCGCACACACACAAGCACACACACATGGGACGTGGGGTGATTTTGAGAAACATTGTTGTATGAATTCTGTTGCATTGTTCACTGTTCAACACATACACACACACAGCAAATCGATAGACATTTTTGCAATTGGGTGCTGTGAACTGGAGAGAATTGTGGATGAGCAGCGAAACAAAGTTTGTGAACAAAAATTGCCTGCAGTTTTTGTTTTGTGTGTTTTTTTTCCTGAGCGACACAGGCAAGAACAACATGAAAAATAGACAAAATCAATTTTCGCCCAAAATGCGCATCAAGTTGAACGAATTCAATTTTTTTTCTTCTTCATTTTGTTTGCTGAATTTCTGAAGGATCCATTTAAAGTAGATCTGATTTATGTTGTCACATTTTTATTCTTCAATCGCCTTGAGTATTTTATCAGAACGTTTGCCATTGAATGTGTATAGAAATGGAATTGTTTGATTGGCCAAAATACCAATTGAACGTATACAAAAGGTGAGGTGAGGTGTCGTGGCTGCTTGTAGATGAAGAGAAAACCAGCAGACCCGATAAAAATTCACCAGAACAAGAGTGGGGAAAAAAACTTTTGATGTTTTATTTTCTCATCTTTGATTTTGGGACTTGTAAGCCGAAAGACATACTTTTTGAGGCGAATGTGGCATTGTTTTTCTCCAACACCCAAATCGAACTTTCCATTTGGTGCAAACAATTTCAAAAAAGTGACAACTTTTCTCCAACAAAAGAGGAGCAGAAGAAGAAAAAAAATCGACGCAAATTCCCACAAGGCTCAAAATCTATCATTTATTTCCATCGGTCGGTGTTATAATATATCAAATGGCACCGAACGAAGGCAAACGATGTGCACTCCATGCTCCGAAAACCAATAAGTTTTTAATAAATGGCAATTTTTTTTTCGCTGCCATCGATTCAACTCCTGAATGACTCACGCACAATTTATAAGCGGACAGAGAAAATAAACTTTTGGTCCTTGTTATTTTGCAGCGCTTTTTTTCTGCCGAATTTTTTCGAATTGAATTTTGCTGCGCCAGAAATTCGCACACACACACACACACAGAGTGAATGAGCCGAAAAACTTTCGTCCATAAAAAAATCAAAAGATTTGAATTTACATTTTTGCCAGCAATCATTGGTTCAAGTTGTTTATGCGTTCAATTTTTACTCGCCTGTTTGGCGCTGGATTGGTAAACGAATGAGCAAAAAAATCGTGTGAAAAATCGTTATTGAGTTCGGTATTATGTTTTTTTTTTCTCGTCCAGCGCAAATTTTCTTTTGCCATTGTGAATGTGTCGATTACTGCAAAATTCCGAGCACAAATCAGTGTGTAAAAGTTTTACCGTTTTGGTGCGAGGGAAAATACCAAAACGAATGAGAAAAAAAAGTGCGAATCGGTGCAGAGACGATAAAAATAAATGGGTCTCGGGCTCTTGATGAATGTTCTAATTGTGTTGGAATACTTACGCTTCGCTCCTCCGTTTCCACAATTAAATGATTGTTTTTCATTGTCATCGTAATCAGCGATCCATTTGCGCCTGAATGGTGATTCATTTGTTGTCCGCCACCGCCGCCCGTGGCCATCTCATCACACTGCATCGACGTGATTTCGGCGTTTGATATTAAATTGTCATTGCTGTGATTGATACCGTTCGCTTCACAGTCGACTGATTTGAGCTAGTATCGAAAGAAACAGACAAAAAAAACGAACAGAAATAAGAGGCAACACAACGAAATGTCAGTGAAAGCAGAACAGAAAAATCACATGAAACGAAAATGGATGGGCCAAAAGGCATTTGGTATTGTTGCTACGCGTTTTTCTTTCTTTTATTTCCAGTTCCATTGAAATAAATAACAAGGAAATTCCAAAGGGCATTGATGTGTAGGTTGCAGAAATTCAGACTTCAACAGGAATCACAGTGGAAAGGACGATGAATGAATTCAATGGAACCTTCTTATCGGCTTTTGGATTGTTATTCTGTTTTTTTTCTCTATTTTGATTGCTCAACGTCCTATTTTCCTTTTTTTCCATTTGCTGCATCGTGAATAGCAGTTTAAAATTAGTTTCTGTTATTCAGTGTGCGCTTTTATCGGTCGCTCGAGTAAAGTCCTCCCTTCATGCTGGCATTTCAAACGGGTAATGCGGCGATAAAAACGGAATAATCATTTCAAAAGTAAAACGTAATTGATGGTAGTTATTTAAGCAGAAAAACTGTGCAATAAAATTGGTGCCAAAGTAAGCCCTAATTGCGACATAATGAAGAGTGCGCCGCTCACGCTTAAATATCACACTCAAGTTATCGTAACACATCCACATAAACACAACTTTTTTACAAGTTTAGTTTTAATTTTTGGTCGTCTTATTTGGTGTGTTTTTTTGTGTGTGTCGTTGTTCTGTCGGTTGTTTGTCGCTTCTTGTAATTACCAACGTCGGCTATTAAATAACATTTTAATATAAATTAAGTGATGCTACAGTGAAATAGTTGCAGCGAGCGGGCGAGAGTATCACAACAGAGTGACAAATAAATGAAGAAATTCATGAAAATTTACTTGGCACACACTAAGGCGAACAAAACTTTGGCTTTTCACGTAGAAACATTTTGTTTTAAGCATTGCATGGCTGTATCAAGTATTTGTTGTCATTGTCACATACATTTTTGTTGTTGTTGTTTGGTTCGTTGGTCGTCGTTACTCTCGCTCTCTTGGTAGTTCATCGTAGAGTAGATAAAATGGATCTGGATTCTGAAGTTTCGGCGTGTATTCAAAATAACTCTTTGTCTCTTCATACTCATCCACATCTCTTGTGCGCTGTGCATAATTTTTGCCGTTCAGTTGTGGTTTTCTTTTCATTTTCGTGCATGTTTCATAATTGCAATAGTTTGTCATAACAACGTTTTCAATGGGCGGGCGCGAACGAACCGAGTGACTGGATGCTCTAGCTGCCCGAGAATGTGTATTCTGCCGTTTGCTGCTATGAATTGTAATAATGAATTTAGTTTTATTTCATGCACCACGATTTTGGGTGTATGTATATTTGTGCGGATGATGCAGAAAAAGGCTGGAGTAAAGCATCCCAAAAAGCGAAAAAAAAGTGAAACGACAGCGACTTGTGCAACGAACATAAAATATATGTAGCGGAAATTATGTTTAACCGGCAACCGGGAGAGTATAAGCAAGTCGAGAAAAAAAGAAGCAATACATACTGCAAAAGACAATGAGATATATATAGGGCTGGCAGTTAGATGAATTCAAAATGGAAAAACCACGACCACGGCACTACATTTTCAGTCAAATATCGGAGTGAGGGAGCGGGCGCGCGCGACTGTAATTCGAGCATAATAATAGAGTGTTGTTCCTGCTTATAATTCATTTGGCTTGTGAACCGCTTTTTCTTACATGTGCTGTTTTCGTTGGAGAGATCCATGTCACGCTTCTCTTGCGCCAAAAGTTTTCTTATCGCCAAATGTGCTGCGGCTGCTACTGCTGCCGCTGTTTCTACTTCTGGCTCACACAAAAATCGATAAACCAAGTACAGAATAAATCTTCCACCGAGCACAAGTAAAACGAAATACCATTTCGCAATGAATATTCCATTGAATTAGAATCAAGAGCCGAAAAAAAAATCGTAAGTTGACAGGCGACGTCGAATGAAACAAGGGTACACAATAATTCCCAAACGTTCTTTTAATGTGTGTTATGTTCTATCAAAGTCAAAATGTTCCTTTTCTCTCTCTCTCTCTCTCTCTCTCTCTCTCTTTCTTTCAGTTTCTGCACCGTGATACCGAAAAGAAATGCAATGTATATCGACACAACGTAGATTAGCATCAATTTCTTTTTGCACACGGGTCTAATACGCAACGAATTACTTCATTCTTTTCATTCCGTTTCCATGGGAATTTTGGCCAGGTGTTTTTTCTCTCCTCTTCAAAACTTTTTCTTCGTCTTCCGTTTGTTTTTCTGCTCTTGCTGTTCTTTGCGCCGAAACACAACAAACTGAAAGTTAATCAAACACATTAGCAAGCAACTCGTTGCGCGCGTTCGTTTTTTATTTCTTCAATTTGAATAATTGGAATATAATTTACCGCGATTAATATGGAGAGCCGTATACACACCACAACGATGAATTTGAGGGGAAAAAAAGAGACGATGATGAAGCTAGGAATAATGATGTGCATAAATGTTGTAGATACGAACAATGCTCGGTGGTTGCTTGCAATTTGTACGGCATGTTTTTTTTTTCGTTGGTTGGTCGGGTGAAAAATGTTGTGTTTCGCGCTGCGATAAACATGGTCCTTGCGATTACACAGCCAAATTATTTTGGATTGCATTGTAATTTTTCGGGGAAAACACAAACACCAGCACCCATGCACACCAACAACAGCAACAACAACAACCACCGGATGGCTTGATATGTGTTTACCAAGTGGAGCGAACATTTGCGCTCGGAAATACGCGAAAACATACGTTTGCTCATGCCACTGTGCGTTGTTAGCAGTAATAGGGTTTACAAATTATATCACAATCGATTCGCGTTGAGCATGTGTAATTTCCATGTAAATTTATCAAATGTTATCGAGCTCAAGATTATTATTTATTAATGGCAAACTTTCGTATCATGATGGATATTTTTCGAGCCATTCAAAATCTCAGAGCGTCTCTTTCGCTTCATATGGTAATGAAATGCGTTGTCTATAAACAAGACTGGATGTTTTATGAAAAATTCTGCCTAAGCACTTCATCTCATTTCGAAAAATACTGTTGAGATTGTAAATGCAAACAAATGATGGAATTAAATTTTACATGTCTCTTTAGAATGTTTCAATCTATGAGCGATCACTGGCACACAATGAAATGGAAAACATATGTTGCGAATGGTAGACGTTGCTCTGGCATGAGATGGATTTTAATCTGTTGTTTAGAAGTACTTGGCAATGTTTTTCGACAAAATTCTGAAACAACAAGCTTTGTTTGCTTTAAATCTGCTTGAAGTTTTCCAAATTGATTGACAGAACGGATTCACAATACCTTCCACTTGCAATCAGTATTTATATTCCCTGGTGCTCTTGCACATGGAAAGCATTCGAAAAACTCTTATCTATCGATCAATTCTCTCTCTCTCTCTCTCTCTCTCTCTCTCTCTCTCTCTCTCTCTCTTTGTTCCTTTCTAACACACACTTTTCCTCCTGCTCCTCTTGTTGTTTTGCTCTCTCAACATTTTTGAGCCGCATCAATTTGTGTTCATAATAGCAAAATATTTGTAAATCTCAAAAGCGTGCACCAACTTTTCCATTTTATGAAGTTTTATTACGTTTATTGTGTATTACAGCAAGAGTATTTTTATGATCACGTACTTTATGAAAGTCTTATACAAATTGTAGTTTTTTTTTTTGAAACTCTGAAAAAAAGAACATTTGGAAATGGTTCGGAGGTTGGGTCATGCTACAAAGTGTGCAATTAAACGTGAAACTCTTGAAACATAGGAAAAATACTCTTCAATATATAGAATCATTATCAAAGAAGAGAATTGCCGAAAATGCACATTGCAAATGTGATTCGCATTGGCAAAGATGTTGTGGTCGCCTATTTGCCTTTGATATGGACATTGTTATGTTGCGCTCGTTCACTCATTCATTCCGTCGCTCGCAATGAAACCGAAGAAACAATAATAAATAACAATAACAATGGAATACATAGAGTGAATTTACGGTGAAAACCCTCCCAAAAGAATATTTATGTGATGAACGAATAGTCGAAAATCCTCATACAAATGCGGCACTGTGTACAGTGCAAACTATAACAATGACGAGTAGTGTGAGAGAAAAAAAAACACACACATACACCAAATATATTTTTGGTATACAAAAGCACACACAGCGACCGCATTTCTATTGTGTGCCATCTAAAACTGTAAACGAGAAGAGAGAAAAAATAACGCACACATACACTCCTGAATTCGTAACAAAAAAAAAATAACTCGTTTTTGTTAGTCCAAGAAAATGAATGCACGAAAGCGTTCATTTGGGCCAGAAAAAAAAAGTATCTGCGCGAATTGCATCGCAAATTTTTTAATGCACTAACTTCTTTTCAATTCGACATGGTTTTTTTTCTTTTCTCTGTTCGTTAGTTCGTTGGTTCGTTTGGTGATGACCGGTGCAGTGTGAGATTCATGTGTGTGCAGTGTGCACATTTAGTTAGTGCTTCGTTTGGAGCGATGCGATGTGAGTTTTGTGATTTTGCGTTTGTTCTAGTCAGTGATAGAGTTCGATGCACTTTCTCTCTATCTCTTGTGCCTTGTTCGCCGGGCCTAAAAACGTGCTGAATGCAAAACCACGAAAATAACTCAAAACCAACAACACTCACTTGCATACACACACACAAACACAGCCAATTGCAGTCATGGTCGTGTAGCCATTGGCGAAGTGCATTCGTGTTCGGCAAATAAACGTCTTTTTTTCTGTTCTGGGGAGAAATGCACACGAAACGCCATCTCCGGCTGCACTAAAAACCGAATCAATGCGATGCAATCCATTTTGCCATATAACAAAAGGAATGTGCAACGCGCTCTCTCTTTCTCTCTATGCGACGGAGTAGTTACAGTGAAATTACAATTGGTTCCTGCAAAACAAATGAAACATGTTCTTATTCGCATAGCCAAAAAGGCATCAAACCGGAGAAGA